GTGATCAACAGTGTCAAAGTGCACCAAACTGCTGAGATGAAGCAAATGTTGTTGATGTGTTTCCAGATTCCTGGAAGGCAGAGTTTATCAAGAATGAGAGGAAGAAGCTGCTGAATTACAAAGCTACACTGGTGAAATCCCTGCAGCCGAGGATCTACTGCCCATTCGCTGGATACTTTGTGGAGGCTCATCCATCAGACAGGTAGAGTTTGTAATAAGGGTTTGCACAGCATCAGAGATGACTTAATAAAGTGCAGAGCTTTTTGGTTTTGAACTACTTTTATGTTCCCTGGCAGAAGAATCCTCACAACAAAGTTAGCTGATCTGATCTAAATTCCAAGGCCAAAGCTGATATGTAGTTCATCTGGACAAGTTAATATTTAAAACACAGCTATGTACAATAACAAACAAAACAGGGTTTGGTCTATATATGGGCTCCTTTTTCTATCTATTCCCTGTGTAATTGTAGCTCTGTTTCAGCTGTCTATGAGCTGATATGCAGTTTATTTTGACAAGTCAATCTACAACCATGACTCCACTTTGATGAGCTGCTCCTTTTATACTGAACTGTGTTTATAACTGTCAGCAGCTTAGATTCATTTATCACTGATTTTAAGATTTTCTATCAGGTTTTTTTTTAACGTTACAAAATTCTCCCAGACTTGTTTTGCTGCTGCTTCGATGTTTGTGAAATGTGTTGTTAGCATAAGACCTTTAAACTGAAGACTTTTTTTTTCTCTTTGATTCAATACATTTGTTATGTTATTAAATAAGGATGTGATTAACATTATTTACATCATACACAGCATTCATGTTTTCTGGAAACATGGTTGTACAACACAGTTGTGGCCTTATGTTTTGACAGTGACACTACTGCTAATGACTGTCAAGCTAAACACATGAGACCTAATTTGTGCTTTATGTGTCCCTTTACTAATGTGTCTGTTTGTACTGTGTGTTGGTTGGAAGATACATAAAGGATTCGAATATCAAAAACAGTGCAGAGGACCTCAATGCACTCATTAATAAGCTTGCACCGGCAATCAAAACTTGGACACCGCAGCCAGGTGCTGTGCTGGACCTCGGCCTCGCTCTGAGAGACCCCACCAACAGGTTGGAATAGCTCACATGTTTATCTGTGTTTTCCATTCCTGGTCGATGTGGGAAAGAAAGAGACTGTTATTCCATCTTTGTAATACAACTACATAAAACACAGAAATTTAAACAGTAATGTCCGTCTCTACAATGCCAGTGTATAAACAGATCATTTTGTTTCTGAGAGTCTGATGAGGAAAAAAATCTCACTGTCCAAATATTCATTGTCTGCACTGCAAATGTAAAAGTAAAATGTGTCACTTTTATTGATTTTTCTTTGAGCTGTAGCTTCAGCCCCGTCTTTTTCCCGTTTTGATGTAAGTGCCCAGTAAATGTATATGACTTTGATTCTTACTGACAAGCTACTGCTACTCAATTATTTCATGTAAAGGAGAAAATCCAAATCTGACTGCATTTGCCTATGTTGTGTGATAATGCGATGGCATTATTTTGTTTAAAGAGTCATTATCATTATAAAGAGCACAGGCAGGATTAGTAACTTTCCAAATATACAACAGGGGTCTCAAACTTAAATGAGGTGTGGGCCACTGCTGGCATTGTCATGTCATTGGAGGCCAGTTTAGTGTTCAAGTAAAATGGTACTACAAAACAAACAAACAAACAAACAAGAAACAACGACTAATAATTGTGAAATTGTAGCGTTTTGTTTGGTTTGTTTGGGGGTTTTGTTTTTTCAGATATTGTATAATAAGACAAAACTGCAAATGTGAATGCAGATTTTTTTCCCTCCCTCTTAACTAACTGAAGCCTTTCATTGAACTACCAAATAAACACACTGGTACTCTCTTTGTGGCAGCACTTTGGCTATCATTTTGTTCTTATTTAACAAAATAAAAATGCAGACATAAGTGTACACATTAGTTTTTGACTCTAACTGAACTAACACAGCCAGTCACTCAGTATGTTTGTACTCTCTGCTCATATTGCCTTCATATGGCTGCAAGTGGTCCCTGGGCTATGAGTTTGAGACCCCTGTAATACATCATGTAAACTGCACATGCAAGTGCTAAATGAAATATTTTCTTTGCAACTTTCTTTGCTATGACCAACCATAGGGAGGCCATCACCAATCCCCCAGCTAGTGCAAAAATCTACAAGGACAGCTGGGAGTTCGACTTGTATGTGAATGAGTTGAAGAGCGCCATCAAGTCTGACATATTTAAGCATCAAAACTGGATCCAGTTTTATTACACATGGGCTGGCTTTCAAAACTACAACCTGATTGTGCGGGTAAATGGTTTTGACAGAAATGTTTTACTTTTCTTTGGCATTTAATTTGTTTTCATGATCTTTCCTACTTAAAAGCATTTCTCTGCTTACTGCTTCATAATAAATAAATAATAAAGAGGCCCCCAGAAAAGTTAAAATATATACACTTGTCCATTTTTGCAAGGTTGGAGGGGAATGCATACCCCCCCCTCCCAAAAAAAGGGGAAAACCCCCCAAAACTATTGTATATTGTGGCCCTTTTATGGACTAGCAACCTGCTAAGGGTGTACCCCGCCTCCCACCCTGTCAAAACTTAGACTCCTTCCTCTGTGAACATGAGTTAGACAAGTGCTAAAAAAATAGATGGATGGGAGGAAATTCAATAAAGAGAACATTAGAAGGAACTAAACATGAATTATTCACTTACAGAATTCAATTAAAGTATTTGGGATTAGACTGTGATGACCAATCGCAGCAGAACAGAATCCCAGCAGTGATAGGGAAAGGGCAGGACCGCCCTCTGAATTTAGACTGTGAGTTGCACGATGGTGTCTGGAAGGGAAAATGACAGATGAGATTTAAAGTCGGCAGAGCAGAGTCTGATTGGCCTGAAAAATCTGTGGGACTAGGGATCTTCCTTATTGAATTTATGAATAAGCTTCATTTGGCTAATCCAATGAGCAAAGCTGTTAGCAAAGCTGTTATTTCTCATGAAAATGACAGTGACTGACATTTTTTAATGCACATCATGGTGATTTTGGTATTATTTTAGTTTCAGTTAACCTTGTAAGCCATAAAGTCCTATGGAATGATCTATAAATTTTGACAAAATTAAAATAACTTCAATATTTTCAGTCTGACATTTCTTGTTTGATGAACATACATGAACATTGGTGTACTTTTTTTTTGTTATACCTGAGCAGAAATGTTCCTTGTCTTTATCTTTATATGTTTAAAAAAAAAAAAAAATTCCGTCATGCCTCAGCAGCCGCTGCAGTACCTTAACAGAAACTAGAAATAGAGATGTAGTTCACATCCTGCAATGATGATATTTTAAAATGAAAGACAAAAACGCAAAATAAAAACCCAGCTCTCTGCTCTGATTCCTCATCGTCACTTCCTTTCCTTCCAGCTGTTACGAATCACCTTGGCTCACTTCTTTTTCCATTACATTGCTATCTTACTCAGAGTGGATGCAAATCTGCTGAAATGCACATGTCTCTGTGTAGGTCATTGAAACAGATGACAAGTTTGAATGCATCACTGACGGTTATGACTATCTGGTGGACTTTCTGGATCTATCATTCCCCACAAAGAGACCAAACAGAGAGCACTCCTACTTGGAGGTGAGTCACTATAGAGCACTAAACACACAGACAGCAGCACAACAGAAC